ATTTTGTCATTTATTTGTTCTGCACAGGATGAGCATGTAATTTAAAAGGATACTTACCTTTCATATTTAGAGATTCTTGAATGTGAAGGGCTTCCAAACAAAATTCAGGTGATGACTGGTGTTAACAACATCACAAAAGAAACAGTGGCAGTGCCAAAAGAGGGTTTTCTGGATAATTTCCAATATAACTATTTAGGGCTTTGACAAAAATGATTCTGTATGAACAAACATGAAAGCAGATACAACTGCAACGAGAAGGGCACTTGGAGAGTGCAGACCTGCGCTGAGGTCAGAAGTCAGCCTTATTAAAATTACTTAAAATTTCCAAGTCTCATGAAGGATGCTAAGGAACTCGTTGTAATGTTTACAAAAGTACTTAGCAGACTCATTAAGTGCACAAACATGCACAGATTCCACTTCAGAACACATGATGTAAATGTCATCACCCCCTCCCACATGCTCTCTTTGCTCCATAGATAGGATTGTGACCGTTTGCTCAATGTTGTTTTTTCACTCATGAGTAGACTCCAAGATTTTCTGTAAAAGTGAATGGCCTCCTTTCAGCCAATGCTTCATCTTTACCATGCAAATCAACCAGGCCTCCATTGCAGCCAAAAAAGTATGCTTAAGTATAATTAATAGTCCAGGCTGCAATAACCTTAAGATATTATGCGTCCATGACCGAAGCATTTCTAACATGTGGAAAATCATCATGCTTGAGTAAGGGAGAAAAAGATAGACTTTTGGAAGTTTGAATAGACGTCTGTCTGGGATAGAGGTTTTAAATCTGGCTATACAGGATATGCAGAGTATTACTTGTACTACATTTGTGCATTGGTTAGTGAAACATTAACGTCAACATCTTGTTTGTTCAACCCTATTTTGCTAGTTCCTCCTCCTTATCGTCGTCATTATTACCTTACCATCTTATCTTGTGTTCTGTTTTTTCACCACTTCTCTCGTTTAATGTCGTCTCCCCCGTCTTAGGGACTCCTTCAAACGTCTGAGTTTCCGCAGAACTCAGGATGAAAACTCTTGAGATGGTAGAGCCTGTCTGAAGCAGAGCGTGAGAGCGACAGAGAGGAAGAGGAGGCTGCCACACAACCGAGAGAGGAAAAAGAGAGGATGACATGAAAAGAGGACAAAAAAGAAGGGAACTGCTGGTGATACCCTTGCACTCTTCTGCACTGGAACAGCACAATGTTTTCAAATTAGAGTACTCGCAGTTTCCTAGCAGTCCAGTAGTGTTTGTTAACGTCCGCCTTTGTCCACTTGTATGATTTTGTGGTTTATTTTTACATGAGGCAAACAGAGACTGAGCACATAAAGATAAGGAGGTGGGGATCTAAAGCAAAGTGTAGCTTATTGAGAATGTCACTGTAAAATCTTCAGATGCTGTAGCTCTGTTGATTTCCTTTTTTTTTTAAGATGAACTGCAAGTCCTAATAATGCTGCAACATTTCCTCTGGGTTGGTAAAGAAGGAATCCTTCTGAAATCCCTGCTGTCTGTATGTGTGCCAACCATGCTTGTGACCTGTCTTTGTGTGTATGTAAATCTGTGATCAGATGTGTGTTTATTTCGGTAGGGTTTGAGGTAGAAGATTTCAGTGCCGCACTGAAGTCCCTTTATGATCAATGATTCTGTTATGTGCTAAAGGGCCTTTGAAATTCTACTCCGTGTGTGACATGTGCCAGTTAGAGCAACAAGTGTATTGATGGATTCGTGCACTGGAAAAAGAGAAACAATTTCCTTTGTAAATTCGAGAGACCGTTCTTGTGTTATTCCTGTGAGGAAAATAGTACCAAGCTGTGTAATTAATAGAAGAGTTTAAGTTATTGAGAGTTGTGATTTCAAAGGAGGAAGATGGATGTATCTGAGGCTCAAAATGACTCATTACACGGCGTATCTCTAATTCAACGTTTTGTACATAATAGAGGTATTGAAATAGATAGCTACAAAGATGTTTACAAAGGAATGAACTATTTTGCATTTTGTTTTACTGAAATGTATTTTAGATAAATGATAGCAATAATAAAAAATAATAAGAGCTATAATTCAGTCGGCAGGAATCAGTGACTGAGTGCACTGTAACAAGCTCAGTGTATTTTTCATTAGTTTCAGTTCATGTTAACTATCATGTAAGAAGACTGCTTCCTAGGATACAACAGTGCCAAATTTATTTATATAGGAACTGAGATACTTAACTAGAAAAGCAATATTTGGAAGTCAGTCTTCACAGCTTATTTTGCATCATGAATTTAGTTTATTCCATATTTCAAAACACATTCCAGATGAGACATTGATGACTGCTCTCTCTGCAGTATTAATTAGTGAAAACTTGATTTTATTTGACATCCATTATCTCTTATGATTGGTATTATGTTGCAGCTCATTCATTAAATGTGCTTTGTGTTTCAAAAAGTGGCTGTACATTATTTTTTATACACCATTAATACTCATTTAAACATTTTGCTGTGTTTCTAGGTACATTTTCTATTTATGAACTGTTGAATGTTTTTTTAAATGGTTGAATAAGTTAAAGAAGAAAAGATCGAAAGTTTTGTCCAACATGTTTATTAATCATGTGTAATAATAAAAAGTGTACCCATTTTTGAAACACATGACATATTACTGAAGGTTGGTGTTATTGACTTTCAACCACTGGTGAATGCATTTATGTTTCTTCATTTGCATTTTATGGTCTGACCTGTTGTTTTTATTAAATGTTGATTTTTATTTTTACTTGTCATGCATACAATGCTGTTGACTCACCTTAATAAAAACTAATATATGCACGTTTGTCATGGCTCTGTTTGTTGTTGCACTTTCACTTTAAATTATCTGCATTTAAAATGACATATTTATTAAAACCTGTTAATACATAATGTATGCAAATTTTATTACAGACAATTAGCCTATTCCAATGACACAAAATGTTGCTGTGTTTTTAGCTTATTAAATCATATTTTTATATCAATATGTAGGCCTAATGCATTGGTGATCTTTTCCTCATTGTAGTCATCATTTCAGTTAAATAAATAGGCCTACATAGACTGCATTTTTATTATTTACAATCTATGAATAAATACGTTGACGTTATGAAATTCAGTCAAGGTAAAGGTCCATTAAGGTTTTATTTTCTCATAAAATTTATGGAGTTGAGAGAGAAAAAAAAAAGAGCAAAAAGGCGGGAAGAGTCTGGAGGAAAAAACTACAATACGTCCCTGTCGCCTAGCTCTGACGTCATCTCCACTCGACTTCGACATGCCCGGCAGTAGAGGTAAGCAGTAACTTTCATTCACAACAAGCCAGCACATTTAGTCCCGGTGATTTGCAGACAGCAGTTTGTAGACGTGTCCTCTTAAAGACTTGAGCGTGTGACTTCGCTGCAGTAATGTTTTATATTGAATGTTGAATTACGGATAAACAGACGAAATGTACAATTAGACCTGAACTGCGACCTGTCACACATTCAGTGGACATCAAATCAACGTAGCAACACTCATTCATGATGTCTAAATAAGATGTCTACACCTAATATTGTTTTGTGTGTCGAGGGAGGCTGCTTACTTAACCATATAGAATATTAAAGTGAACTTTCTTTAACCATTTCTTGCAGTAAACAAGCTTTTCCACTTTCATTCTGTAGCCTTTACATTTAAAGACGAAATCAGTTCCCTGATAGAAACTGTCATGGTGTGTTATTAGGCAGTGGGTCCACAGGCATGCAGATTAAAAACCCTCCAAAACCCCTCCAAACACTGGAGGAGCACAACCTGTTGAAGGCATCTTGTAACTCTTTTTCATTGTGTCTGTGTAGTTCTTTTTTTTTATTGAATTATTCAATCCAAAAAACTTGTATTTGTCCCCGGGGGGCAATTCAAAGGCACACAGAGCAGTAAATTAACAACAGTGCAAGTAAACAAAAAACATTTTAACCTAAATAGAAAGTGTCAATTTAAATACAACTTAAAGCTTAAACTTAACTTAAAAATACAAAATATAAAAGAGTAGATTATGTTCATTGTTATGGTTTATCTTTGTGATAGTTTTGCATATTGTAATTCTTTGTGTTGCTTGTGGACATTTTTGTTTGAGTCTTTGTAGTTGTACTTTACCCATTTGATGTCATTTGAAATCACAAATGGCACTCAAAGGATCTACTCCTGGTACCTGGGACTTTGCCCCTTTTGGCCCATTCGGTAATTATTCAGAATAGGAAAGTAACAGTAAGCAAAGCACAATGATCAACTGTCTCCTGTTTTCAATATTTAGGAGCGTAGTCCGAGCCATAGTGGTCACGCAGGCCAGGAATGGATGTTTTTTAACGGGCTATGTTATTACTTTTTCTGCCTTTTCCTGTTGCTGCATATGTTATATACTGTTTTTTTGTGCGCTCATGAGTTTATGAACATACTCGTGCACTGAATAACCTCTGAGGATTTCCTGCAGTAAATAGTAATTGCACCTCTGTCCTGCCAAGTCTGCATCATGCCCCAAGCAGGCTAAATGGAGGGATTGTGACAGCAAAAACTCTCATATACACCAGGAAAGCTTTAATGTAGGCTGCTGTGGACAGTTCGCTGTTCTTGGCACCGTCTGGGCTACGGCGTTTTTTTTTTTTTTGATTACGACTGCTTTGTTAACAGAGATCTAAATGTGATCGTGAAACTGAGTTTTAGACTTGAGTTGGAGTTAAAGTTGAGCATACGTTCTAGGGGTGTCTTGCAATATTAAACTGACGATATTTCTCGTTGAGGTGAAAACTGTCTCGCGAATGTCAGTACATGGACGCAGAGCAGCAGCCATCAGGGCGGAGTCAGATGTTGAGCTCACTTTAAATTGTGTGGCTTGTTGTGGAGAAATGAATCACAGCCGATCTGTGAAACTTGTATAAATGCACTGTCAGTTATCCACAGAAGAAGAAAACAAATAAGTCTTTACTTTTGGCCTTGCCTTCTAGGTGTAATCATCCTCTGTTCAAAGCTATTTGTGTGACATGGAGGCAGACGGGGACCTAAACCCCGACACAGACGACCTTCCGCTAAGAGCCAATACTAACCACATCCTCGTCAGACATTATGTGCTGGACATGACTGTTCATTTTGACCGGAAGGTGATCAGTGGAAGTGTTGTTGTGTTCCTTGATCCTTGCTCTAGAGAGGCTACTAAGGCTGAGGATGACACTGGACCCGGATCTAGTGAAGAATCCAGGTCCACAGATGCTGGAGAAGGTCAAGAGTCAGAGGGGTGCAGATTCGGGGATGTGGACGCAGTGGAGGATGGCAGAGAAGGACTGACCGAGACGAAGATGGAGAAGAAGCTTGTTGCTGAAGATGAAAATGCTCAGTCCACGCATTCCTGGGAAACTACAAGTGATGGTGATTTCACCCTGATTCTGGACTGCTGCGACCTTGATGTCTCAAAGGTGGAAGAGTTGGACATCTCTGCAGTTTCAGCCGTGTCTAACTTTTTACCTGAGGTCAGATCAGAGGGGTCAGGAGTCAGTTTCCCAAACCTGCAGTCGGCCTTTCTTCAAAACCTGATCTCCATGCCCTCTAGCCGATGGAGGGAGAAGCACCAGCTCTTCTTGTCATGCAGCAATGCCCCTGCAGCTCGTGATGACAGCCCAGTTCATTTTTACAGAGATCAGTGGAGTCTGCAGGTGAGGAAAACGGGCGTTGCATCACCACTGGAGTTCCCTCGTGCTCTCAGGATCTGCTACGAGACGAGGCCAACAGGAGGCTCTGTGAGGTGGACCAAAGACCAGACAACAGGTTTGTCTCAGGATATGGATTATTTAAACCATTCCAAAAAGAATTGGACTTCTTGTAGCATGATCAGACCCCCCTATGAAAGATTTAAAAGCTGGCAACCGGCAGCACATCTGCTTTGATTCCTGCCACTCATATTACAGTGTAATATTCTGAGCCTGCCATGTTGAATAGAATAATTCTGATTCATTAACTCACAAAAACATGCCGTGGGGTATTTTATTCTGCTGTGTTTTTGTCTGTGCGTATGCTGTGTGTGTGTGTGTGTGTGTGTGTGTGTGTGTGTGTGTGTGGTGGATCCTTGGAGCATTGAAACGAGGGTTGTTTATAGTTTAACATTGTTTACCCTTCCAGGGTGTGTGTTTACACTGCCGGTTCTCCCATCAACAACCGAGCCCTCTTCCCCTGCCAGGAGCCGCCTGTTGCCATGTCAACATGGCAGGCAACAGTACGGGCCCCCACTGAGTGTGTGGTTTTGATGAGTGGGGAGGAGCAGACTGCACCTATTGAGGATGGGGACACAAGTAAGCTGTTATGTCACAAACTCTTTCTTAAAAGCTGAAGAAGTCAATTACATAGCTTAAAAATTATCTTGAGATTTTTTTTTTTAAATGTGTATTGAGTATTTGTTTCAGTAATTTAAGTAAGTTACACTGGAAGTAAAACAAATCTGTGTTAAAATCGAGATTAAACCCAGAGAAATCCATGATTATACTGAAAGTAAGATCAACATAAGGTCCAAATGATTTCTACAATTCTCTCTCAAGTCTTTAGACCTCTTATTTGGACTCCTCTGTAATTCCCTTCCTCTGAGAGATTTTCAGTCGTTCCCTCTTCCCCTCCATTTACTGTGCAGATGTTTCAACCTGGAATTACTACGTCACCATGCCCATGCCTGCCTCCACCTTCACCTTGGCAGTGGGCCACTGGTGCCAAGTCGCAGCAGAGGTTCCACCATCATTGGAAAGTGGAGTGATTGACCGGACGGATTGCGGCAAGACGGTCAAAGTCTTGGCTCGACACGGGGACTGGACTGAAGCTGAGCTTGTGTCTAGACTTGGAAAGTCCACCAGTGGAGTAGTAAAGGGCTCTCCAGTCCACACTGGCAGGTATTATATTATTGTTCCTGTGTTCTTTTCGTCTTGTAAGTCCTCCTCCTCTTCTCCAGACTGTTATTAACCCAAGTCTGGCCTTTAGACATTCCATGGTGAAACTTTCCTTTTGCCAAACCAAAAATGGCTCAGGTGAAGTTAGGGTGATGGATAGAGTGCGGAGCTCAATCTGCTTTTTATGACAAGTACATTACATTGTGCACTTTAAGTACACTGGGTTCAATACCCAGCAGAATTTAGCGTTGGAGAGCAAAATAAGTAAAGGGGACATTAAATTTAAAGAGGTACAGGATATGGAGTGAAGGCTGGGGCTTTAGAGAGGGCAGGGTTGCGCTGGGGTCTCCCTCGTCACTGGCCGGCAGGTTGGCAGGTCTGCCAGTGGTTTCCAGTAATCCTCCTCCCCTCATAGTTTTTCCTCCAGCAGCAGTCCAGCTGTAGCCTGCCGCTGGCCCCAGGAATCTCCCGCTACAAGGAAGGCCTTTATTTTCAGTGAGTGGCTGGAAGGAAACTTGGATGTGGCTCGAATCCTTTGGAACGGTCTTAATGCTGAGGATGGATTTAGTGCTGGATTTAGGATTTAGAATAAATGGGATAGCATGTCGGCACCTATATATTTTTGGGATCATTGTGGTTTGCCTTTGTGACGTATATATTCCATATAAACACTATTGTTGCCACTCTTCCAACAGACGGGCCTTATTTTGCCACATTTGGTCCTTTTTGATCCAAAACTGTGTATTCCTTCAACGTGAACTTCATGAATTTGCCTTAATTAACCTTTAAGTAATCTTTTCTTCCCCGTTTTAATCTGCAACAGAGGAGACCAACCCGCCCGCGCAGACTCTGCATTCTGTAGCTCTTCCCATGAGGATGAAGGGGTCTCTAAAACTGATTATTCAAGCATGGCGGATGACGGCATCTCTTGTTCCCATGGCGACTTCCCTTGCCGATTTACTGAGCAGTCGGCTCGGTCCCAGCGGTTGCTCCCACACCGTGTGTTTGGCCCCGAATGCTTGATGCACAATGCCCAGGTAGAGATTTGACAAACTGGGATATAAGCTAATTACATGTAAACGTTTAGATGAGACAGAGAGCATCAGTCAATGTTTGTATCATAACAACCGCTTACTTGGAAAAGTGTATTCTGATGAGGGCGTTTTAAAATGTATTTCATCTGCTTAAAGGGGAATTTCCAACTGTAATACCATTTGTTAGTACACATTCAAAAGCCTTTGCCTGTTCAGTCAGTCCTGATTTGATGACGCCTCTTAAATAAGTGGCAAAATATCTTCAAGAACTAAAAGAAATAGTGCCGCTGCTTTTGACTTCATCATCATCATCATCAACCTTTATTTAAGTTCTCGGAGAGCTCATTGAGGGTGAACCCTCATTTACAATGACGCCGAGAAAACGCACGTAAATACTTCATACTTGTAGAAATATACTGACCTGGAGCACATACTGCATAGTCAGTATAAACAAAAACAATCTAATTCAGGTAAACAGAAACAGTCATGGGTGTTTCTGTTTGCAGATGGTCCTCAACCTGTTGCCTCAATGTTTGGCTGCAGCCTATGCCGTTCTCGGGGTCCACCCTTTTCCTCGCCTTGATGTTCTCATCGTCCCAGCAGGTTTCTCCAGCCTGGGCATGGCCAGGTAAGAACAACTACAAATAAAATGTGTCTTTGTGTGTGTGTGTGTGTGTGTGTGTGAGTTAATAGGACAGAAAAACTTAACAGTGAAACGGCTTGTGAGGTAGATGACTTTAAGAGGCATCATGTTCAGCAGCTTACAAGGAGCACAAGCTGCACCTTTTAGGTTGATGTGACAAACAGTGATGAGCACCTTTTTAAGCAGATAAATCAGATGCACTGCAAGTTAAAAAATCATTGGGAATATTGTAGCCTCCTGTTGAGCTTGTTTTGCAGTATCCCCTCCTTTTAGCTCTGCTTTTGTCTCCACCAACTGCTGAGAGAAATGTTTGGCTCTTCACTCTGAACCTCTCCAGTATGAAGGAAGATATTTTGTGTTTTTAATCATTTTAAGCAGATATATATTTGGACAATAATGAACAGAAAGCGAACAGAACGTCAAAGCTATTTTTAATGCTGCTGCTTTTTGTTTTGTTTTTCTGTGTTGCGTGATTAATGACACACTTCACTTTACAAAACCTCCCCTCTCTGTCTCAATCTTCTTTGTGGAGATCTTCGAATTCTTTAGTGAAAGATTCAAGGAGTAAAACCATAACTGTCTTTAAACTCTGTCCAGTCACTCGTCATCCCCGTCTTTCTCCAACATAACCGCTTTCAGCACAGGCCTGTGGGGCTAGTCTTCTGACCTGCTGGCATCTCTGTGCTGCTTATTAAAGGATGTGTTTCAGTCTTAAGTGAGTGTTGTGCATCTGAATGCTGCCACTATTGCATTTTCTTTAAAACAAACATCCCAAGCAGCACTCGATGGAAGGTAGTTGGCAAAAGAAGGATCTCAAGCCTCTCACTGGGCCTCTCATTAAACTCTTTTTTTCCACACTCTGTCCCAGCCTCTTTCATTGGCCCACCATTAACCTTCTACATTCATTACTTTTTACTTTTTCTGTTCCCTCCAAATCATCCATTTTCCAAAATGCGACACCTCCATTTACCTCAACCCATTTTCCAAATGCATCTCCTCCTCCTCTACCTGTTTTTCCATCCGAAACAAATCTCTACTTTTAAGCAGTTCCCATCAGCATCCTTTAACTTGTTCACAAGTTATAGTCATAGATTTGTTTTTACATTTTAGAAGGTAAAAGTTCCACAACGTTTTCCTGTTTTCTTCATCCCTTAATAGAAACGAAACACTGTTCTTTTTTCCTTTTCTATTCTCATCACTTCAAAGACCCCCAGACCCTTACCCCACAGCTTTCACTTTTTATAAGGAGGGCTAAACCTTTTCTTTTTTGCCATCAAAAATGTTCAATACTTGTTAACACCACCTGTTTCAAAACGATACAGTCGGTTATTTTATCAAAATATAGAGTACCCTAAAATACAGAGGCTTTAAAAAAAATACAAATCTTTTTATTTTATTTTTTTTTTAAATCAGCTGAGAGTGAAAGAGAGACAGCCCTCTCTCTGAGCATTGTTTCGGTACCAAATTCTTGCCAACATATTTGGGTAATTTAGATTGTGACAGCAGTTTGCCTCCATTTGTAATCTTGTAACTAAAAACTAGAGAACATGATTTTGGTTGCCAAGAACTTTTAACCATTTAAAAAAATATGGTACCCTACCCTGGGTAAAGTTTTACTCAATGGGTCAGTCAGTAGTTTGAGTGTTATTTATTTTTTTAATTTATTTTCTACAAACAGGTTTCAGGAGGTCTGCAGACTCTCTGCTCCAAAGTACACCAGTGTGTATTTATGTATGTATATTTAGTGCAGTTTTAGTGGAGGTCTGGGGGCAGATGGATTGGTGCAAATCCAAGGGTTGACAGATTCACTGTCCTACGCTCTGTAGATAATTCTGCTCTGTGTGTGTCTTTGTTCTCTCTTCAAACCCACCCTGTCCTCCTCTTTAGCTCCTTCACCCTTCACTTCCTCTCCATATGTATCCCCCCTTTGGTGGCTCTTTTCTTACTATCCTTAAACTAGTGTGCTGTTTCTGTCAGTTCTTTTTGCGTCTCATTTTTCTCTTTCGTCTACTAACTTTCTCTCTTTGCCCTCGTAATATCCCTAAATCCTCAAGCCCCTTGTGTTTGCCTTTCTTCTCTGTCCTCTCCACTTCTTTGTGTGGTCAATCACTCCTCAGCCTGGCCTTGAGCGTTCTACAATAGTGATAGTTTCTCTGAAAATCAAGTTTTATATTTTGTCTGCAATGAAGCCCTTTTAGCTATCATATTGCATGGCTGTAGAGATGACTGAAAGTCAGCCGGCAGCCATATGAAGAAAGTTAAAATTGGAAATTGACACAAAACAAAGACCGTCAATGACCTTTTTTAAAATTGTGTTGATAGAGTAAACTGATTAGGGTGGTCTGTGAATGCTGTCCCAGTGTCTGCGGTCTGCAACCACAGCCTCTCTTTCTCTCACTCTGCCTTTTTCCTCTCTCCCCCGGCGGCCTCCCTGGAGAAAAGTGCCCCAGACAGGATATGAGCTCAGCCCTGAATGTATATTCAGCGTGAATTTCTGACGCTGAAGCCAAAAGTGGTCTTAATCAGAGATATGTTTAAGGACAGAGATCGACAAGAGGGTGGCAGTCTGGATTTAGTTCATAACTCTGCATACTTATTTTGACTGCGTTGCCCAAAATAGAGAGTGCTCCTTTGATCTTTCTCCCTCATCTTGTGAAAATCTGTCTCCCTGCTGTATTTATTTTGAATGCGCATCAAGTGCGAACACAGAGGCTGTTCGGCTGTGGCTGATGTCTGACGGGTGTTTTCTTTCCCTTACGAGGATAGCTCCCAGCTTCTTATCCCTCTTGCCCCGGCTGCTTTGACTCCAGTTAGCTGACGATGACAGAGAGGAGATTTAGAGCCTTCATTAAGCTTCAGACATCACCTGCACCAACTCGCTATAAAACTCTGCATGGGATTCAACCCAATGTCAACTCTCAGTGCGGGTGGTTTCGGTCCTGCATGCTTCTGCTCTTAACCACAGAGTTTGTGCCACGGGAGGGCGGCGAGGTCAACCAGAATTGGAAGCGTAGATTGAGATGGAGATGAGAGGGAGTCGAAGAGGGTAACTGCTGGGTTCATGACAGGCCAGCAGACCCCAAGGATGTGGGAGAGGATGTGTGGATTATTCCCAGCAACAAAAGCCATTAGTCCCTGGACGGACTTCAGAGAATGGCGCTATTTAATCTGGAGATTGGGAGGTATGTGGGCCCCAGTGCTTGGGACCAGGCCAAGCGCAGTTTTTGTGCAGTGTCTCAGTGGAAACAGCAGGAGTGGAGGGGGAGCTGTGGCAAGGAGGCAGGAAGCTGTTGTAGTGTGATACAGCGGAGGGAGGGCGGGAGGGCGGGAGGGAGGGCGGGAGGGCAGAGGCAAAAACAGGGGAGGATTCACAGCGGCGTGAAGTTTTTGTACCAAGATACGAGCAGGGAGGGCAGGAAACTGAAGATTAAGGAGTCAAGTAAGGGCAGGTCTGCATTCAAGGGCTGTGCCGCCTACACTGTGCACCCACAGGGCTTTCTGACTCACACACACGGATTGATGATGAAGCCAGTCAGCAGTTTATAGGATTTCACAAAATCAATTTTAGTTTATTTTGTATAATAATGACGGCATCAAGATGTCATATTTTAACATAATCCTTTTGTCCGACTGAAATCCAAGTTATCAACAGATGCACATTAGCCTGCAGTGTTTGGCTGTACAAAACAAACAATGTTATTCTTTATTATTGTCCCCCCTGTTCACTTTTGTACTGCCATTCTGTTGTGTTCTGTTTTCACTGAAAACCTGTCTAAGGCAGGAAAATGTAGAAACACTGCTGTGTCCACACTGTTAGTTCAACTTGTCAGACAACCAGGAGTAGATCAGTAGATCAGTAGACAGGAAGACAAATACAGTGTGGTTGAACATTGATAGAGAGTATATGGATGAGTGAGGAAGATTGTGTCTGCGACATAAGAAAACCAACAAGGTAGAAAGAGTTGCTATCAGTGAGCACGGATGGGGAGTCCCTAAAATGTACTTCTGTTTCTAAAGCCTTTTTCACACATGCACTCCTGAAAATGTCAAACAAATTCAGGAAAGGCTGTCCCTAAAATCTTTGAGTTACTCTTTCACACATCACTCAAAGTGGGAGATTCTACCTCTCAGATGGTAGTGGAGGGGGGGGGGGGGCTCAGGAGGTGAGACGTGATGTAAAAAGATGGCGCGGATGAAGCAAAAGATTCAGACGCGATAATTTTTTCCCTTTATGTCAATGCTACTTGTAATATCAAAGCTTGGTCTAAAGGCGACCGGACTTGGAAGAAGGCACTTCACCGCTCCTCTGAAAGCCTTCACTGAAGTGACTAAACAAGCCTTTCTGAGGAAGATGTGAAGATCTTGAACCAAGCCCAGTTGCCTTTGGATCAAGCTTCGAATAAACCATGACCTCGATGACTAAGAACTTTCACAGATGCTGCTTGTAATTGAACTTATCTCAGTGAATGAGTGGGAAAAGAACACAATGGCGATCAGAAAAGGGAATGAAACAGTTACATGACGATTGCACCAGTTGATCCACTGGTCTGATGTAAATATCCTCACCCATGCCCCCCTACTTGTTGTAACGTTTCCTTGATATTTCCTGCACGGCACTGCATCAGTTACCGCAACTTCTTTAGAAAACTTTACGAGGGGTGGATTCAGTTTGGGAATTTTTCAGGAGAGCATTGCGTGGGTAAAAACTCACAAGCTAAGCACAGGGGGCGCCGGTACAGTATGTGCGCCCAATGTACAGAGGGTGTAGTCCTCCAAGCTGGCTGTCCTGGTTCAAATCCTTCCCCACTCTCTCTCTCACCTTCTGATTCTATCCATTGTCCTATCTCAAATTAAAGAGTAAAAAGCCCAAAATTAAATCTTAAAAAAAACAAACGCTAACCATTTCTCCAGAAAGTTTGAAGGACACATTGGAAACCAAAACCAAAGCGCTTGTGATTTATATTTGTTTTTGTTTGTTCATACAA